GGGCCACAAAAGATTATAGTATGTGTTTTTTCACTATTACTATTTTACCATAGGCTTTGTAGTATGGTGCGTGGGCGGATCAAAGGCACCACCAGTGCTACAACTTCAATAATGTGCGAGGCATGGCCCGAAAATGTAGCACTGTTGGAATATGTAGTACTGCACAGTATAATATGTATGGGCTTTCCTGTTAACCACAAGCTTTGATAGAGGCAAATCACAGCCACAGCTACATACACTAGACATGTAACAATAATAATAGTGATAAATGAGATCTGATCACTTTGCGCCTGGCCGCCTGTGCAGTTTTGAAATGAAATTTGATCCACCCATGCACCACTATAAAAACCAAACCAAACCAATTTTTATACAAACCAATCAAAGCACTGTTGATTTGTAGATTACGTGGAATTATTGCACTCGGGACGGTCTCGAGAAAATTTAGCACTCGGCCCGCTTCGCCTCGTGCTACATTTTCCTCTCGACCACCCCTTGTGCAATAATTCCCATAACCTACTCTCAACAGTGCTTTAAGGCCTTTTCACACTGGCACAAGTAATGCACATTGATGTGCATTAATCATGTCAGGGATATAATAGACTAACGTAACTGGGATTGGCAATGGGATCACGTGAGCGCATCATTTGTGTATAAAAACTTTTTGCAGTCTCTGTTATGATTTTCAAGATGGCGGCTGTCAATGTCTGGAGTATGAAGTTGCTCTTTTCTCTTTTAAAGATGTATTTAGCTTTATGAAAAATCTACTGCAAAGTTATAATGGCAGCTTCAAGGTTCTGATTGGTTATTGTAAGCTAATATTTGTTTTAAATTGTTTAAATCTTCAATTTACGGCTAAAATTCCATTTGCGTACCTCTGTAGCCCAAATATTTGTTTCAATGAATGTGTTTTTGTCATGAAATGTTGCCACTTTATTTATTACATTGTTTAGGCAGCTTCCCTTGTTTCTCCAGAGTGTTCTTCAGGAAATATTCAAAAAAAAACCAGTTTGCCATGGTACGACTTTTGCGTACCTCTCAGGAGAATAGACTACATTCTATTGCTATGAAACTACAATAAAGAGACTCTTTACATGTTTTTACATTGTTTAAAGTTGTTTCTGAATTTTCCCTGTGGCTGGCTTTTTAGTTATAACAATTTACATTCAGCCATTTTGCTAAGATGCTATTGATTGCTGCCATTAATTTAATGAATAATAACAGAGTCTGATAATTGATTCCAGTCTGATAATTGATTCTGGTCTGTAACCGATCCCTGTTATGTTAGTCTATTACCATAGATCGGGAAATTTTTGTGTTAAAAATAATTGGTGTAAAATTTTTTCAAGGTGTTTTATTTTCGTTGGTTGACCCATCCACGAAATTTTTTTAACTCGAAAAATTTTGGATGCGTTATAAACGGGACACGTGGCTACTAACTGTTGACAATGGTGGACTGCTATTCGATGGAAGTTGCTCGTGACAGCACTGAAACTGACAAGGAGCCTCTTGGGTGAGAGCTTCAGGCCTTCATTGGGCTTTAAGAAGAGCCTTGTGCCAGCTGTGCATGCACTACTGCACGTTAGAATAGATTAACTTCGGTAATCTAATTATTCACTGTAGAAAATATTTCGTGTGTCAAAATTTCGTGGGTCACTTCAACCACGAAAATATTTTAACAACAAAAATTTCCCGATCTATGGTATATCCCTGATCATGTGAAGTGATGCGCTTTGATCAATGTAAAGTTGTAAACCAATGGCAACAAGAACACAAAATGATACATAATTCAGCTGCATTATTTCAGCAAAGGGCATCAAAGCAATTTGAAAACTGTGCCAGTGTGAAAAGGCCTTTAATTAATACATAATATTGGTATAACATCTGGTTATTAATGCAATTTTACTCCCCCATCAATAAAATGGGCCATTCACAGATGGGGGAGTAATCAAATGGGGGAGTGAAATTAGTGTGATTTCACTTCCCCATCCATGCATGAAACTTGTTATGGTTTATGGATGGTACTTGGGTCCCTCTTGACAATAGCTTTTAATGAATCAGTATCAATAGAATCCTGCAATTGCTGGCATGATATTACAAATACAAAAACAGAGCAGGTCATCAGTTGATGCTCTGAGACTTCAGATATTCCTAACTCGTTAGATTCAGACAAGCCAGGAGTATCTAACAGCACAGTGTTGATGTCATCAGTGGCACAACGACATAGGAAGGGCACATGTGCTGTTACTTCATGAACATCAATTGTCTAAACAATTAAATTCATTTTAGGAATTATACTCATGCTAATACTCACTGCACCCTTTTCTCTAATATCAGAGTTCGTTTTTTGAATTATTTTTCGGATGCTTCGGCGACCCTTAATCTCTTCCTCCTTCATAAATAGAAATTGCTATGCAAATGCACAATTCAATTCAAGAATTCACAATAATATACTTCAGTATCTTCAAAACAGCTGTTTCCATGATGGTCACTAGGCTTATGACAAATTCTTAAAATAAATGCTGTTTCATTTGTGTCAGCTACTGACAATACTCTAGAAAATTAAATCAAACATCTAATCAGAAAATTCTGTCTGTATCACTCACTCATGGTGAAGGAGTGCATTCAATAAAGTGCTCTTTCCAGCTTTGTGACGTCCAAACACACCAATAGTGAGGACTTTATTTTTTAAGAGGTACTCAGTTTCATTTAACCATTTCTCTTGAACAAGAATACCATTATTACGTTTTCGAATTGTATCCAATATAAACTAAAAGTAGAATGATGAAAATTTTGAATAATTGGATTCTTTCTACTTGGCAGCTTTCAGTGATGGATGGTGATAATTCTGCTGTCCTGCTAAAGGCTGAAAATAAATTTAGATGCCAGGTTACTTAATATCATGATTATCATCCCATATTTCTACCTTGCATAACTCTGTGTCCAATGGTCTGTGCTCCTCCTGCAAAATATTTGATAATTTAAAAGCACCGTTTTTTCCAGAAGAAAACATATTGCCACTTGTAAGTCTTGCAAAGAGCCCTTGACTTTTCTGTGCGTCATCATCTTCCTCAGAATGATTTTTTAAAACTTCTAACACAAGATACTCATCATTATCAGATAATGGAGGATCCTAATAGAAATTGGAACTAAACAGAGTTTCAGTTGTAGATCTACACAATAGTCAGAAATAATTATGACCTCATAGCGTTATAGCATGCATGGCACCTAGTGGTGGGCAATACTGGCCAAAATGGATTCGATACGATACCGATCGATATCAGCTTATATCGAGAGTATCGATACAGTTTTGATACGATATTTAGACCACACCTATGGAGTCACACCCCTTATTATTGACTGTTTTCATCGATGTTTTCATGCACGTGTATCCACGTGTGTGTATTATACGTCATTAACTTATTAAAATTTTCATTATTAATATTATTTAACCATAATAAATGGGCGTGGTCAACGTATCGATCCAGATTCCTTCAAAATTTCGATACCGATACGAATCGATACCGTAAAATATCGTTTGTATCGATAAAATATCAATATATCGCCCACCACTAATGGCACCATAGGTACAGCTGGTGCACTCAGGCAAGATTAACTTGATAAGATAAGGAACCCAAATTTATTTGGCAGTGGCTATTTTTACGGGCCGTAATCCGACCGTGGGTGGCTATTTTTACGGCAGATGATTTATCTATGGATTTACTCATTTTAAAACCTGGGAAACACTCTAAAATAAAAAAACTAAACCCTAAACCAACCTTGGGGACTCCTAACATAACTAGGGGGCTCATAAAATGACTGGGGACGCTCTAAAAAAACTGCCACCCTAACCCCTAAACCCTAAAAACAATAGCTAAGTAGGGGACTCCTAACATAACTAGGGCTCCTAACATAATTAGGGAACATAGTGAAGTAGAAAGATAAAAAAAATGAATTTGTTAAAGTCAAAATTATAAAAAATAAAAAAAAGAAATGGTCTGAGCTGAATTCGAACCCGTGCCCTTCCGTGTATCCAACCCAGCGCCTTCTCCACCGTGCCACCACGATCCTACTGCCTTATTGATGCTGATTGTCATGTTTATACGTCACTTCATTTCTATATTCCCTGCCGTAAAAATAGCTGTATACAATCATAGATACAATGAGATTACGGGACCGTAAAAATAGCCACTACAAATTTATTTAGTCTCGACTGTAGGGCCAGGCTGGGGAATGGTCTGGCTAGCCAGACTAAAATTTATTTTTACTGTCAATAGAATATGAATTACAGACGGTCCGTATAATATTCCTTACCTTTGTAGGCTGAGCTGATGATGAATTTATGCCTCTAAAATAAAACAAAGAATAACATTAAGTTCTTTCAGTAGCCTGCCAACCCTTTCTTAAATTTAACAACTGAACGCAGAAGTAAACTAGTCTCGCATAGCCAGCATCTATGCTGAGCACGGAACTAACCCTGTATCAATAGTATCATTCACATGAGGCTCAGCTTCAACACCGATTTCCACTTTTAGTCCCAGTGCAATGGCCATAATCTCGGCCGTAACCAGCAATCACTCCAGTGTCTCCAGGGAGATTTGTTGAACCTACCCTAAACTGAAGAAATTTTTACCCTAGATTACCCTAGAACCAATTTCTTCAAATTTCTCTAGATTTACCTCAGACCCTTCATCAAAAATCCCTAGAAAATACCTTGAACCTCTGCCCCCACCTTTCACCACACCCAATTTATGAAACCAAAAATGATGATTTTTGATTAAATTCATTAGTTTAGAAGTGATGAATTTCATTAAATTGCTATGAATATCATTAAAATAATAAAAATCAGAATTACCCTAGATTTTGTGCTTTTAAAAATTACCTACCCTAGGCCCTAAATTAGCATTAAGTACCCTAGATCTAGGGTAAAATCCCTAGCATTGGAGACACTGAATCACTCTACAATCAAAGTGCAACGCAAAATTATAGTTCACACGTGCAGTGAATTAATTTTTAATTATTAATTTTATTCATTATTAAACTCTACTCTATGAATAATAAATTAGTCCAGCATTGTATTTTGACAATGGAGAAGAGATTGAGTGACACTTGGGACTTCTGACATCATCAGTTAAATGTAAATACGGACCATCATGTAGTGTGACATTCAGTCTCTCTATTATTATGAGAAAAATAACAATAAATAGTTGTAATTGTTGTTGTTTATAATTACCTCTTTTCTCCCAGAAGTGACTAACATGTCCTCCCCAGCTCTTTACCTCACCGCTCTTCTGACAATTCTATAACACAGACTTAACACACTCATCTCAAAACAATGCTAAAACTGATACCTCTAAGATGCGATATCGATTCTTCATATCCAACTGCCAAGGAGGTACATAGTGCTTGGGTATCATTGGATGATGAGAAGAGAATCTCTCCGGAGCAGTTATCGGAGAAACATGATTCAAGACTTTCGGCTTATGGGGTCCCTGCTCATAGAAATCAGGAGACAAGGAAGACATTTTAATGGAGTCTTTGAGGGATAAGTATTCCTTGTTAGCCATCTTGTCTTCCCTGCTACTCTCTATTGTATAACTGCTTTTACTTGAAGATGTTGTTTCTCTTGTTTCAGCCCTTGAGTGATTGGGTAAACTCCCTCTGCTACTGCTCCTGGTGCTAATATTGGCACTATTTCTATTACTGGCTGAGCTCTCCATGTCTCCTAAGCAACTGAAGTGTGAACGAGATGAGCCAAATATGAGAGCTGCTAAAGATCTGCAGAATAAGGGTGGGGCTCAAATGAAGGGCGTGGCTCATTCATAGAATGCATGGGCGTGATTAACCATACTAATTAATTAGTTCTTCCACCGCGCATGCTCAAAAATACCTACCCACGTGCAAAAACGTGGCTGTTATGATGGAGAGCGTTTGTGTGTGAATTAGTAAATTTACAACACATTGAAATCAAAAGCAAATGGAATGTTTTTATCATCATCACATCATAACTGAATAGTTATTATTTGCTATGCTGAAAGTGTGCAGGGTCTATTACATACACACAGCAAACGATGTAGAATCACATACAAAGTGAAAGTGATTTTCATTTTGATTGTTATGAAAACATTGAATTCTCTACTTAACAGTAGTAAAACTATAAAAGGCTCAGACTAGACTGAGACCATGAGCAGAGCAAAAGAGGAGACTTTATTGTCCTTTAAAATGAATTTCTCTCTCTTTATTCTTCTTGTTATCCCATTCTGTCTTGCTACAGACCCTCTCAACTCAGAAGAAGGTCAGAAAATAACATTCTCTGAAGACAATGAGCTACAGTATGAGGAAGACGAGTCTGCAGCAGAAACTGATGATGACTATGATAACTATCGGTGGGTAGCAGTGGATAAAGAGGGCGTTGAGACAGAAGGGACTCTTGAAGAAGCAAGAGCTTTATTCCTGGAAGATAGTGACAATCTGCAAGAGAACAGCGACCCTGCAACCTCTGCTCCCTCACTAGAGGACGAGTATGACCCTAGCACCAGCTCTCCTAATGAGGAGAGAAATGAGTTTGTTAGTGAAATGCTCAAGCAAATCCAAAAACGACGAGTTTTCCGACCGGACGAACGTCGCAAAGTCTCTCCAGTGAATCGATACCCATACACAGCCATTGGTCAGATAGAGTGTGGTTGTACTGGTACACTCATAGCTAGGAGGACCGTCCTAACTGCTGCTCGCTGCCTCTATCGGAGGAGAACCGGTTGGAACCGAAGGCTCAACTTTCATCAGGCCAAAGACTGTAATCCTGATCAGGGAGCTGCCTTGAACTGGACCCGAGCTGTAGTCTATAGGGCATGGACGAGGAATGAGTCACCTCGAAATGACATTGGTATCATAATACTAGCATGCCCATCCGTTTCCTTTATGCCGATCGGTTATACAAACCGGAGAGCTTTAAGACGGAGCTTAACCTACAACGCTGGGTATCAGTGTGACAAACCCAACCAGTGCCTCTGGAGGACTTCGTGTCGTATTTCCGGTTTTTCAGGTTATGGCTCAACCCAGCTACGTCACCAGTGTGATACCAATAGGTGCTCCATTGGTAGTGCTTTGTACCAGTATCAAAGGAGAGGAAGAGGTAGAGGAAGGATGGTTATATATGGTATCCATGTCAGAAGCTTAACAACTCATAATCGTGCTACTAGGATGACAAGGAGGCATGTGAGGACAATGAGGAGGTGGATCAGGAGGTTCAACGGGAACTGAACTCAACCCTCAAGAGAGAGAACAAACAATAGTAGCTAGTGCAACTAGTGCAGTGTGTTAGTCAGCAGTGACTTTAGAATTTGTCAATTATTAAATCCTTTCATTTTCGTTTTTATTGTTCCCTATATCACAACTGCTTATTGTTTTCAATAAAATTATGATAATAACAAAAAATTACAAATAACAACAACTATAGCAGGAATTCATAACAGCCAAAAAAGCATAAACTACATTATGCTGCCATGAAGTATGCTTAGAGTATTTAGCAGTAGCTGCATTTAGAATGAACATTATGTCTTGTATCAAATACATCTTAAAATTTACAATAATATCTGCATGATTGATTACTAAGTATTAGTTACTAAGTGATAATCAGTCAATAATTAAATCATCATTAATGATATTATTGTTTGCCTATCAGTCTGATATCAGGTATCCTTTCGACGTACCTTGAAAGATGGAGGGAACAAAGAGGAGGAGTAATGGGTGAATGATGTATTATCAAATGAGTGACCAAAAGTAGGGACACCTTAAAATAATATAATAAGAAAGGAATATAAATAATATTGTATTACTGTTTAAGGTTGATGAATGAAGATTATGTTCTTGGTGACTATCATTATTTGACAGTGAGCTCTATAATGATAAATTATTTAGTAATTCTATGTGGTACATGTACTAATTGAACTTACTCTAGTAGCTACTCCATATCTGATATGTGATGGGATTAATGTCTCACTTGATAAAGACTGTCCGCCACTTGACTGTGTCCTTTTATTTACTAAAAACTCCTTTTCTAATGACAGACCTCTTCTCTCTAATGATAATCTATGGTCTACTGGAGCTGCAGTATCTAACATAAGACCAGTATGTGTTGAAGGGCCTCTCTTTACACCTCTCTCTAATAGTACAGGCAGCCTCTTATCCCTTCTCTCTATCCTTTTATCAACTGGTATACCTCCTCCTAGTACCATTGGTCTGTCATTGGTCACTAGTGGTGTATGAGAGCCATTGCTTGTATCAAAGCCAAGATCAAGAGATTTAAAAGGTCGTCTTTGTAACAAAGAGCGAGAGGAGGAGTGAGAGATAGGAGGGAAAGATAAATGTGAATTAATCCCTGATTCTTTGTCTTCATTATGATGGGTAGACTGCAATGCTTTTATATCACTGCTAAGAGAAGTATCCTTAATAGCAGATTGGTCTAATACATTACTACCATCAGCAGTGAGGTTCATAGGCAGTGAATTATTAATAGGAAGTTGAGCAGTTTCATTAATAAGTGCACCGTCAACTTGTCTTAATGATATTGGCAGGTCTGCATTAGTTGGTAGTCCAGTATTAACAGTGAGATCTATAAATGAATGATGGTATGGATCTTTTGATTGATCTGTTGGTATGATAGTAGTATTTGTAGATAAAGGAGCAATAGAAGAGGAGGAAGAGGGGGGAGGAAGTGATCTGTGTCTTTTTGAGGTGTTAGCATGAATCATCTCAAGTTCTGATTTGTTCCAGTCTGTGGTATCAATATCGGTTCCAAAAAGATTAAGCGGTGGGTGTGGTGAAGAGTGAGGTGATGGTGAGAGTGTTTGAGGAACATTCTGTTCTTCGTTACTGAAGTCACAATAGACACTAGACTCAAGATTACAGATCTTGTAAAACATCTAAAAATTTATTTAAAAATAATCATTAAAGTTGTGAAATAATTCTGGCTAAAGTTATGGATTAAAAAATGGGCCTATTTCTAACAAAATCCCTGTACTATAGCCCATGGTTTTTTTTGAAAAATGGCTTAAAAATCACCCCCAATTTTTATTACATTTTCTAATACATATTGATGCACTTATGCTGTGTAGCAAGTTTGAGCTGATTCCGACTTTAATTTTTCAAGTTACGACCATTTTTAGAAATCAGCCAAAATCTGAAAAAATCCCTGTACTATAGCCCATGGTTTTTTTCTAAAAAATGGCTAAAAATTACCCCCAATTTTTATTACATTTTCTGATACATATTGATGTCCTTATGCTGTGTAGCAAGTTTGAGCTGATTCTGACTTTAATTTTTTAAGTTACGACCATTTTTAGAAATCGGCCAAAATCTGAAAAATCCCTGTACTATAGCCCATGGTTTTTTTCAAAAAATGGCCCAAAAATGACCCCTAATTTTTATTACATTTTCTAATACATATTAATGTCCTTAAGCTATGTAGCAAGTTTGAGCTGATTCCGACTAAGACTTTTTAAGTTACAGCCATTTTAAGTAACAATTTCTGTTTTTTCAATACAATGGCCTCTTATACAGTACATGCAGACTTCATCTCATTTCTAGTGTATAAAGCACCTCTAATGATCTAACTGGTAGTGTAGGGAAGTTAGCCTGCAATTCCTCCAGTGACATTATCAATAAATCCTTTAGACACTTTCCTCTTAACATCAGCTGTGCACTAATAAAAAAAAAATAAAAATAATGATAATATCATTGTTTGATTAAAATAATAATAAAGCTAATAATACTAATATAGCAATCTTACCTATAGCTGTTTATACAAGGGAATGAGATAAGGAATAACTCTTGCTAGCAGAAAATAAATAAATAATGTTTATAATAAAATAAAGGACAGACTGTACTTGTGTGAAATCCTCTTTTAGCCATTCTCTACTTTCATTCCATTCCAACTATAATGAATGAAAATTAAAGTCACATTAATATATTCCACATTTACAGCATTTTGTATCCCTTTATTGTACTGTACATGTACATCACTTACTGGTGCTTCACTCAGTCTCAGTTCAATAAGATCCTTCACTAGTTTCCCCACATCATCATAGCTGAATGCATACAATACCTTAACACTGTAGCCAGTGTGCAGCTTACGGTGTATTAATAGTGATGCCTGTAGCTTAGCAATGTTAGCTGGTATATTACCACTGAAATGATAACTGGGTAGAAGAAATGAAAGAGAAAAAAAATTTATAATTTTACCATTTTTCTTTCTTAATTTATGCATCATTCTATACTAATCATTTACAATGAATTCTCTTGCTAAAATTAGTACAAATCTACACACAACTAAAAATTGACAGTACATGTAGAAAAAATTATTACTAATATTCATAAAATTAAATAATATTTGAAATACCATTTCTCATCAGTGGATGTCAGTATTAGCCAACAGTTGTTGAGTTGTATTGATAATGAAGTTAATGTACTTATTAATAATCTTAAACCACTGTCAGATGACAGAAGCTTCAATGAGTGTATTAGCACACCAGTAGTGGAGTCAAGTAACAGATCAGCATAAACATACTATAAAAATACACAGGTAATAGTACAGAATTGTAATGGGTAAGCTATAAAATTTTTGATTCACACCGCAAAATTAGCATGCTTGCCTTTTTCTTTGCATCGACATTAAGGGAATGATAGTCCCTGACTATTATTTGAAAATTATATCTAAAAAGTAACTTTATTAATAATATTATATAGACTCCTCCTTCTCTCACTTTGTTTCTAGTGATGTTAAAATTTCAGGACATTGAGCTATGGTCTCAGAACCAATCAGAGTATAAGATACTCCAGTAGAAACAGTTTCATCAACTGTAGAACATTAAGAAGACAGTTATTATTTGGCGTACTAGAAATCCAAATATATTATCAACCTTTATGCCTTTATGTTTAATGTTTTTGCAGTGTGTGGGTATATTAAGGTCCGTTAACTTTTTAATAATTTTTACAAATAAAGTAACCAAGTATTCTGTTAGCTGCATAACTATAAAAATACTACAACTGACTGCGTAATATCCACCAAACCATTGGATAATAATAGATGTACATGTATTATAACTGGAATTAACTACATACATGTACATGTACTAACCTGATGAGGTATTACTGTCCAATACACAGTGTAATACAATATGAGTGAAGGAAGAAGGAGAATGAGGAGGAGGAGTTATGTTAAGAATATTTGATTCATATTCAATCAGTAATGATACTTTATCCCATGGAAATGAATGAGAGATAGCAGAGACAGGAGTAATAATGACATTATACTGATCAAACCTAATGATAAATAAATAAATAAATGATTAAATATAATGAACA